TGAAAAGTCACTAACCTGAATAGATCCCGTGGCTTCTTGTTCCTGCCCCGCCCGACTAGCGAGTTATTTTTAACTTACAACATTGGCCGATAAGTATGTTTCACTTTTTTTTTTTTTTATGCCCTTTCAGAAACAGAGACTATGAAAAAAACAAAACAAAATACCATTGCAATTCGGTGAGAAGTCACTCCACTAAAGCTTTGGGAAAGGAGTAGTCTGGACCTGTTCATCCTGGATCACAGGTTTGCAAGGAGGACTGAGCAGGACAGACCTCGTCATGGCCAGCATCAGCCATCAGCAGAATAGCATATCCACATGGGTGTTCTCTAAGAAGCCACCTTTAACGGCTTTCTCTGTCTTCCTCACCAATCTGTAAGACATCTCCGTAAGAAAAGGCAGCTGTGAGGTCAAGGACAGCATGCTATTACAGTGTCTCTAATAAAATGACCTTACGTGGGAGCAGCAGCCTTCCAGGTCAGGCGACATCTGTTGGCTTGTTAACTGGCTACCTGCCATGCATCACGCATCATGTTAATGACACCAAGTCCTAGCAGGACTGGACCTGATGAGAGCCTCCAAGCCTGCATCCACCTCTGTATCTTTGGCCTAATGGTATCGCATCCATAGCTTTTCTTTGGTGACTCCCAAATGTGCAGCTAGAAGAAGGCTTTCTTTCAGTCACAGTCTTCACACAGTTAGGGCAGCTTCAAACGTGAATATAGCTGAACTGCAACCAGACAGCCCAACAAGTTCTCCATCTTACAGGGCCCCAGCATTACAGGCCTCCCTAGTTGAAACCTGCCTTCAGTCAGACTTTGGAAGGTAGAGGACATCTAAAACAGTCAATTATACTTTCAAAGTAGTCTGAGTTCAAGCGTGATAGTTACGTTTTTATTGTTTTAAGAAGGGATAAGCTTGAGTCTGGAGAGACGGTGCTGAGTTGGAGCACAGCCTGCTCTTTCAGAAGCCCCGAGATAAGTTCCCAGTACCCACATCATACTGCCTGAAACTCTAACTCCAAGGAATGGAACGCTCTTCTGGCCTCTTTCAGGACATGCCCATAAAGCACACACACACACACACACACACACACACACACACACACGCACACGCACACGCACACGCACACACACACACACACACACACACACTCATGAGTTTAAAAATCTGTTTTTAAGGAGAAAGCTGAAGGACTCAAGGCAAACGCTAAGGCTTCTGGAGTGTAGTTCTTAGAAAGTAAGGGGCAGAGGGGTGAAGGGAGAAAAGGAGGAAGGGAGGGGTGGAGGGAAAAAAGGAGGGAGGGAGAGGAGGAGGGAGGGGAGGAGGGAAAAAAGGAGGGAGGGAGAGGAGGAGGGAGGGGAGGAGGGAGAGAGGGGTGAAGGGAGACAGGGAAGGGGAAGGAAGGAAGGGAGGGGAAAGGAAAAAAAGGGGAAAATGTGATTATTTTACTTTTGTTTGAATTTTAGAGATTAAAAAAAAAAAATCCATCAGTTTCAGCCACTTGGTTCTTCCTAACAGCTGCGGGGACTCTGGCGGGCCCAAGAACGGTGAGCATGGCTCTGGCAGGCCTTGCTCTTGTCCCCACTCCCTCCGCCTTGCTAAACCCTTAAAGTGCACTCCTAAAGCTGGCCCCCAAGATCTATTTCCTTATTTGTCCACTCCCTCCCCCAGAGGGTGACTACCAAGGTTCAGCTACCAAAGTATTGAAGTCCAGCAAACAAAAGCCCCCTTTGGCTCACCTAATTAACATGCCCAATTGGAATTAAACACCTCATCCTAACACAGCGTTTTTCTCTTGTACCCTTATAAACTGACTTTTGCCTATGTGCCACGTCTGTCTCTACCCTGAGGCAGTCCTTTGCCCCCTCCAGAACAGATGTCTCCGCCCCTTCTCCCTTGCTCCCTTCTCCTAGTCTCCTGTCTTTGTCTCCTATTCCCTGCCCTCTGTCCCTCTGGGGCAAATACGTCTCGTTTGTGCTTAGAACTTGGTCTTGGGGGTCCTTTCCCAGATATTGAGAGATGACAACGTGTGGAACAAACAAATCTCATCAGCATTCTACAGAAAACATTTTTTTTTTTTTCTTGCTAACACATGTAGGATGACAGGGATGCCTGTTCCATGTGTCATGTCCCTGGACATATGGCGCCACTCAAACAATTCAAAGAGTAGTGACCAGCCAGGGTACGGAAGGGCAGAAACAGGAGCTCTCAAGCCCATAGGCAAGTAACCCTGCCCTTATCACACATGCCAGTATTTATTCGATTGGCCCAAGCAAATCACATGCCCAATAACTCAAAGGTACATATTGCCCATCCAGACGCTGCCACGTCCTGCATGGCTTTGGTTCTGGAAACCCAACTGGGTGTTGAAAGAGAATAAAGAAAGGATACACACACACAGGTAGAAAAAAATCTGGGCTTGGGTGGGCCAGGCCATGCACTGTGATAGAAATGCTGCAACTACAGAGGCAGCTCAGAAACACAGCCTTTGCATTTTATGAATGGATCCAGGAGGCAGGTTCATTGCCTCAGAGGTGGGCTTTCCTCATCTCAGTGAAACGTCTCTGTAGGGAAGTGGTCTCAGGCCACAGTCATCCCAAAGGATGAAGCTGTGGCTGTCAATCATTCATAAACACTCATACTTGGGCCACAGTGCTATGTGACAAAGCTTTTCCTGAGGAGACACTACGCACATGTCTAGTTTCCCTCTAGGGAGCCCATGACAAACTAAAGTATGGATGCCACCAAAATAGAGCTTGGTGAGCAGATGAGGGTTACTGGGGTTCTTGCAGGAATATGGGTGAGAGGCTACTTGCAGGAGTTTAGGTGACTCCAAGACAGCAGCATCACTAAGGCCCATCCCAGCATGAGCAACAGGGCACAAAGATGGGAGCTTGGAACACACTGTAGAGCCTGCAGGCAGCTAGGTAAGTTGGAGAGTGTCCTTACAAGCGACTCTGATCTAAACCTCTTTCAGGCCGCTAGGCGATCTCTGCTTCTCCCAAGCATCCCGTCTGGTCTCAGAATCAGTTTAACAGCTTGGCTTGGCTGATGATCTCCATTCACCATGGCTTCTCTGAGAGTGACAGGGAGGGGCCTAGTGAATCTGCTCAGTTTCGGGAACTTCCTGAAGCTATTTGGAATTGTCTGCCTACCTGCTTAAAGAGCTTCCCTGCAGTATGGATGTTTCAGTCTTGGAGGAAACTGTTGCACGACACATAGGATGACTTTGCCGATCTCCTGAGCCTAACCTGGAGAAGGTTTGGCCACTCCCATCGGTCCAATGCACTGGGGCCCTCGACATCGTGGTAATCATGATAACAATACATGCTCAGAATTTCAACTGCTCTTCCCCACTCCCCTGCAAGAGGCCGACCAAGAGCACGGTACATATCACTACCACAGAGAGGAAAGAAGTGGGACTGGTAACCCAACGATTACCCTGCCTAAACATTCTGGAAGGCAGGCACCCCCTGCACCATTGTCTTGTGTAAGTGAGGCCTTTTGCCGTTCACCCGACAAAGTGTAAGCTGCTTTAGCAAAATTAGAATTCAAATCCTCTGCCTTCCGGACCTCCGTGGTTTCTTCCTGGAAGTAGCCACGGCATCTTTAATAATCACATCTCTTGTGTTCAGTTGTCCATATCCTCCAACAGAGCCCAGACCCAGCCTCATCTCTTAGCCTGATCAGGGTTTAACATTTGTGTGGGACCTTCTGCAGTGTATTACAAGCCATTTTTACTATTGCTGCACTAATAGATTATTTATGGTGGGAAACCAAAACCAGAAAGTCCTGGCTACTTGCAGACAGACTTTATTGAAAGTATCTCCCCCACCCACCCACCCACTCACCCGTGCAACACAGAGCCCACTAGACACGCTCTGTTTCTCTGCTTACCCAGCCTCAACACAGAGTGGAAGAGGCACAGCCCATGGCTATTGCATGGGAAATAAGATTCTGGGACACAATATAGGTTGATTGATGTTTATTCAGGGAGAAATCACTTATGCCTGAAAGAGATGATCGCCACGGGTTCCCACTCCAAGGATGCTCTCTGTAACCCGACCAGGCGCCTCAGTCTCCAGCCCGCTGCTCTCTCGGGGTCCCTGAGCGGGACCCAGGACTGTCTGAACTCTTCACTTTCACGCCTTGTGGTCCAGACGCCGCAGGGCCTCCGCGTCTTTTGCCACTGGGGTGCGGGCATTCGAGCTCGACCGCGCAGGCATCAGTGACAGCTTTAAGGCAGCAGGAGTGGGGGCTGTCCCTCCCCACCCCTGCCGCACCAGGTCCCCTGCTCCCCTTAGCACACCCTGGCGCCTGGAGTTGGTACTGGCAGTCAGAGAGGTACAGAGACTGCGCCCTCACCCCGCCGTCCTCACTCAGGCTTCCCGGGGCTGATCTGCCTGCAGAAATAGGTCCCGACGTTCCCAGGCACCTAGGGACTGATGGTTCCCAAGCCTCTGAGCCGACTTTCTAGCTGCTTCTAGCTGGTCCGGGAGTGGGGAACACGTTGTGTCGAGTACAGGGCCGGGAGCTCGTTGGCGGCAGATATGCCCGGGGTGGGGGAGATGGCGGGGGTGGATGCAGAGGTTCCAGGGACCAAGGGACAGCAGGACATCTGGCCTGGCCAGGAGGCTTCAAGTTTCCACCGGAGCCAGGTTGTGCAACCGTGAGCCGAGCGAAAGCCGCGGGCGCCTCGGAAAACAAGGCGAACCCATAAACAAAGCCACGTGGCCTCAGGGCCCCGGGGGCCGGGCTAAGAGCAGGCGGCTCTTCCGGCAACAAAGAGCCGGGGCAGAGGCCCGGCATAAATACTGTGCCCCGGCAGCCGCGCAGCATTCCCGGAGTGCGACGCCACCAGAGACCCTCCCCGGCGCCTGCGCCATCTGCGAGTGCGGGGACCCCCGCGCCCATCCCAGACGCGCAGCCCTCTATCTCTGTTCCCCACACTCCTGGTCTCCGCCTGCGTTCCCCCGCAGCATCTTTCCAGCGTCGCGCATCCCTGGGATCAGTAAGGCCGGTCCCCAGCTGTCAGTCCGTCCTGTCTGTCGGTCGCGTCCGTGCTCGGTGCCATGCCGTTCCTTGGGCAGGACTGGCGGTCCCCGGGACAGAGCTGGGTGAAGACTGCCGACGGCTGGAAGCGCTTCCTGGATGAGAAAAGCGGCAGTTTCGTGAGCGACCTCAGCAGGTGAGGACGTTCTCCAACTTCCAGCCCCACAAAACAGACCTTAGCTGGTCTGGGGCGGGGGTGGCGGGGCGCGCACCGAAGGAGCAGAGGAAGGAAGACAAGTAGGGCTGGGCCAGAATAAAGAGGGGGCCTCGGCTAAGGAGTGAGGTGCCGGTTTTTCAGCAAAGGTCGCCGGATCACAAAAGATGGGTAATTTGGTGTCTCTTACTGATTATGGTCAGTGTCTCCCAGAGAAAGAGGTTCCATACAGAACCCGGGATCCCTCAGTCTGGCAACAGGGAACCATGTCCCTGTACACTTGGGACTCAAGCGTACAACTCAGGGAGCCCTGCCTTTAGACCCGGGAATTGCACGGTTACTGCTTTAAGTGGGCGCTAGCAAGTTGGCTCTGTGCCTTTCACTGTCCTGTGACAGGACCCGAGGAGAACAAGCTTGGTTGTCACGGTAGTCACGAGCCGGATGATGGGCTAGTCGTGGGCCCTGCCCTGGGTGCACGAAGGCTCATCCCACGCACGGTCGACGGCTGAGTGGGCCGAGAGAAAGAGTGACTGGCAGGGGCATGGACCCTGGGACAGAGTGTGGGTGGCAGTGGTCAGGCTGAGGGGCTGCAGGGAGGCAGGGGATGAAACCCGCACGCACAGCGCTCTGCTTCAGGAAGGGCCAGACACTTGCACCTGTTTCCTCCCTGGCCCTTTCCCGTCAGCCTTTACACAATGAGCACACTCCCGTTCCTAGTGGTGCCTGCCAGCTGCAGAGAGACCACCCAGGCTTAAAGTCTCACCTGAGCTCCGTCATCTGGTGGAATATCTGGGGTAGTAACAAGTGCCCACTCATACATTATGAGGTCGAGAGTCAGTTCCCAACCTGGGCAGCCAGCTGCCTGAGACACTTGAGGGACATGATAAAAGGGTGTTCGGAAGGGGCTGGTGCAGTTGAGGTCACCCTCCGGTGCCTTCCCCTTCCACTGCCCTTTGATTGACACCCCCACGCGTTAAAACTGACTTCTGCAGAGTTCAGTGAGTGGGCCAGGTCCCACGGAGAGAGGTTTGCCAAAGGCTGTTTGAATAAAGGTTTGGCAGTTATCAAGAAACTGTGGTTATATGGGCAGCTTGACCTCCAAGGCCTCCTGTTTGATATTTGTAATGCTTGAATTCCCTTTGTGTCTTAATGGGGTGACCCAAACCATTGAACTCGGGCCTTTCAGGAGAAAGGAATCTATTAATTAACCTTTGTGTTAGGTCCTTTGAGGCAGTCCCAGAGGAATTTAGAATACACAAAAGAAATCTTATTCACAGAAAAATTACCAGCTGTTGTCACCTCCCGGGTTTTCCAGAGAATGGAGTTAACAATTATACCTAGTACATCTTCCTCAACTAAGTGAGAAGTCTCCTCCTTGGAGCCACCCTCCTTAGGAGCCAGAATCTAATTTCCCAGCCCTTGTTTCTGTAGGAAAAGCTCAGCTTCATCCCATGGAGATGCCCCAGGGGTCCAGCCAGCTGCTTGCCTCAGTAAAACAGGATAACAGTCCACTGTGTTGAGCAGGCCCAGATCTCAAGCGGAGAGACCACAGTTCGTGTGGATGCCCACTCCGTTCTTGATCCATGAGATAGACTAGAATAGTGACGCCCCACTCTCCCTATTACAAAAGACCTGAAGATGAGTTAAACTTGAAAGTTTCAGGAGGCTGGAGGCTGGGACAGTAGCCCTTCCTGACCCCCTTCCTTTGCTTGTTTATCACACCTGTGAACTGAAGCTGTCACACACACACACCCAGTCAGCATTGTCTCAGCAGGGACCAGCAATGACCACCTGCAGTCCTCTGCTGAGTCATGGTTGATTTGGTCATCCACCTCTCAGAGCAGCTGGCTGTTTGCAGGGTATTTTTCCCCCCAGCAACTGTAAACAATCCCCTCCTTCCTTCGCTCATAGAGTCTGCCAGCTTCTTAAAAGCAGTGGCCTCCTGAGGTCTGGGCTTCTGATCTCAAATATCCCACTGCCCGCCCCCCCCCCCCACGCTTGGTTTCTTGTGATGTAAGGTTTGGGCTCCGTGCCTGGCTGTACAGGTGAGCTTGAATGCCCTCACTTGTTCTCAGAAAACAAAAGGCAGGCGGGTCCTTTATGAGAGAAGATTAGTGAGTGTAAACTGAACCACCTACCAAGGTACAGGTTGCTTCTCTAATTCCATGGCCCATCCTGGGAGTTGCCCAGCACGATGAAGAATAAAGGTGTCCTTTGGGGGTTATTGTTTAGTGGGAACCCTGGCTTGCCTGCACAGTTTACCAGTTCTACACTCCACTGGCCATTGTCCCTGTGGTCCAGGGCCCTGCCCTCCCACAGCCAAATGTTACAGCCTCAAAGCCACCAGATGTCTCCTGAGATCACAGACTTTAGATAAACTTAAAGCTGGTCCCTTAAAAAGTTGGAACTGTAAGCTAAAGGAGCAAGTAAGGCTGATTAGAATTTCAAGGAAGTAACAGTGGTATTGAGCTGGGGTGATCCAAGAATGCCTCAAGGAAGTGGTGGTTGAGATGGCCCACACTGCCTCCTCCCCAATCACCCCTGCCCACATTGCCTCCTCCCCAATCACCCCTGCCCCACCCCAACCCCAGGATGAGTAATCTCAACTCTCTTCTCCAAGCCTGGACCTCTGCAGTTAAAAGCCCGTTCCAGTGATACATACTGTGTGTTGCTAAGGCTGGCCCAGGAAGGAGGAAGTTGGTCTTTATGCATTGAATAAAAATAATCGTAGAGATATTTTTATAAGCACGTACTCTGTAAGGCAGATTTGTAAGAAGTGTTGTGCACTAGCCTGTTTCTCCAAAGCAATCCAGGGAGGAGTCCTTTGAAGCTTGGCAACCTGGATATGACTTGGAGCGAATAAACATCAAAATCTCACTGGCCATAATCAGGGCTATAGAAATACTTTGGGTCAGGACATGGTTTTAGTAAATGTTTTTCTTAGTTACAAATGAAATAAATAAAGCTCATGTTTCCCATGCCTTCCTTTATCTGCTGCTGAAATGGTCTTATTTTGAGATCATTCCACCTTTTTTGCAGTTGCCTTACAGTATTTTCTATGTTTGATGGTAATGTGGGTGCCGGGTGGAGGAAGGCTTTGCCTATAAACATCAAGATTAGTAAGAAGTAGTTACAAAATAACAGTTCACTGACTACTGCTGCATTTGGTAATGCGGCCTCCTTGAGATGATTTTGCTTAGTTTAAATATATTTATATATATGCTATAATTTGTTAACGGTGATCGTTTTTCTTGTTAAACATCTGAGTTGTGATTTTGCATTTCCTGGAAACAGACATAACTGAAGTCTCAAAATAGCCACTGAGTAGATTATTGCTTAAGAGAAAACAGAAGCAGACAACACAAACTTCACAGCCTTGTTCCCAAGCCCAGCCTCCAGAACTCAAGCCCTAATACGCATGAGCCGGGTAGAGTTTCCCTGTAGTTAAAACTTTTCTATACTCTGCGTCAAGAGAGCATCATCAGTGCTGTGAAATTTTTCTTGAACTGGCTTTTGAAATGAGTCACTCCAGCTTATAGCCGCTGTGAAGAAAACAAATGCTTAAATTCCCTCAAACACTTTCCATTAGAAAAGTGTAAGATGAGTTGTGCACGGTGAAAAATTGGAGAGTGGTCACTACCTGTGCCTAATAAGGAAAGCTGCTGCAGACCCTTCTGTGTGTGACTTAAGATAGCTTTGTTTTGTTGTTCTCAAGGTGTGGACTTTTCACTTAGCTTGTAGGGCTGTGTGTCTCTGTAAAAAATAAGCCTTCCCGTGGCATTTTTGCCCACAGAATGTCTTAGCTTTGTTTTCTGAAGCTTTGGGACATCACGGACCACTCAAGTGACTTTCTGTCTTTTCCTCTTCCTCGGCTTTGATTGAAATTCTTTAAGTTCGCTTCTGAGACTCAGAGTTCTGTTCTTTGTTCTGCCCTTTTTTTTCCTGCCGACTAGAACATCACCCCTCCAGTGACTCTGTAGCCCTCATGCAAGCGGACTAACACACACTCTGGAACTGGACAACGCCTGACCCAAAACATTCACCCTTGGCTCACTCAGACAAGTGGCTCTGAGAGCGGTCATTTCTGCAACACACAATCTGAAGCCTAAAAATATCCTGTTTCCGTGAATGAAAAAGAGGAGGCGAAAGATGTTAGGGAACACAACAAACGCTTGACTGGGTGGCCTGTCAGGTTTGTCCCTGTAGTTTGAAAGCAGCACAGGGTATCTTGCTGGTAGTGTCAGCATTTTAGTAAGATACTAAGGCAAGTCCTACTTACTGAGACACTGATTGCAATGAAAGAATACTGAACCAGTTTCCAGCTTTCTTGTCTCTTCTGTCATTTACAGGAAGCCGGAAATAGAGGAGAACATATATGCTTATATTCATCTCCCCCCAAAAGAGATATAAATCAATATCTTAAATTCTGCAGAGAAAGTCAAATTGAAATACTCTTAATATATTAGAGGACACACCCACACACCTGTTTCGTACAGGTTGTTCTTATAAATCCTGCCTTCCTCTTGGGTGTTGAAAGAGGCAGGGAGCCAGGTGGTGGTGGCGCACGCCTTTAATTCCAGCACTCAGGAGGCAGAAGCAGGCAGATCTCTGAGTTCGAGGTCAGCCTGATCTACACAGTGAGTTCTAAGATAGCTAGGGCTACACAGAGAAACCCTGTCTCAAAAAACCAAAATCAAAAAAAAAAAAAAAAGGTTAAATTTTAGTATTTCTTCCCCATCATTTTTTCTTTAAATTGTGAGACTATCAGCCATATTCCCATGATAGCGCAGCCCGCTGAAGGAAGTAGACACCTGGCCAAAGCTGGACCAGCCCACCCTTCGGTGACCTAGGACCTGTATAAGCGTATTGATGTCATTTCAGCCCCTATGAGTTGATGAATTATGCATTTTCCTGGTTTCTATTAGGACCTAGCACTTTGACCTTTCAGCCTGAGGTGTGCTATTATTAAACAAGTAGCATCGTGTGTAAAATATCTGCTGGGAGTTTTTAAGTCAGATTCTTGTTATTGTGATCACGTTTTAAAGGCACGACAGGAACATGCTAGCTAAAGCAGCTTGGTCATATGTTAAAGTGGGTGACTTATATAATATGTGATTTATAGCTCAATAAAACTGTTTATAAAAGGGCAGAGTGTGCTAGCACAATGTCCACAATCCCAGCATTCTGTACACCCAGTACTCTGGAGGCTAAGGCAAAGGAACAGTATGATCAAAACAAGCCTGTGCTACATAGTAATTCAAGGCCAGCCTGGGCTACATAGTAATTCAATCTTGTCTTTAAAAGAATTGAGAAAGGTATTGGGCATGACGGCACACACCTATATAATTCCAGCACTGGGGAGGCAGAGGCAGGTGGATCTCTATGAGTTTGAGACCAGCCTGATCTACAGAGTGAGACCCTGTCTCAAAAAGATAGAAGGGTTGAGGATTGGAGAAGATGGAAAGGAGGATAACAGGAAGGAGGGAGGATGATGCAAAGGGAAGGAAGAAGTCACAGCAGCTTGGAATAGATGCTCTGCATCTTGCAAAAATGCAGGCATTGTGTGGCAGAGCCATAGCAGACATCTCCCTCCCTTGTTCAGCCCTTTTGTTTAAAGTGATACTGTAACGGGCTGTGTCACTCTTACAGAGTATAGTGCTCTGTGTCAAATTATAATGGAAGGCGCTGTTGGGGAAGTCAGAAGAAATGCATGCCCCTGTCCCTGCCTGCCACATGGAGGTGATGATATTTTCACTGAAAGAAAGAAGTCTGTGCTTGTGACCGCATGGCAGCAGCTCCCAGCCTGTGGGCCGCAACCCCTTAGGGGTCAAATGGCCCTTTCACAGGGGGTCACAGATCATGAAAGTTATAGACATTACAGTTATAGAGTAGCAACGAAATAATTTTATGGGCGGGGTCGCCATACCATGAGGATGTTGAAGGATGACTACATCTAGAAGGCTGAGAACCTCTGCTAGGTGTTTTTACTGTTTTGTTGTGTCTGGGTAGCATATGTGTTGGTGTGTTTTATAATCCAGTGAGTTGTTTGTGAAAGTATAGCTGTCACGTCCCTTTTCTCTTCCCTTACAGTTACTGCAGCAAGGAGGCATACAATAAAGAGAACCTTTTCAACAGCCTGAACTATGATGTTGCTGCCAAGAAGAGAAAGAAAGACATCCTGAACAGCAAAACCAAAACTCAGTGTAAGCCGTTTGTTTTGAATATAAGAGGAAGGGTGTCTGGGGACCCAGCTCAGTTGGTAGAGCCTAGGATGCATAGAGTCAGTCCTGGGCTCAGACCCTTGATACTCTATAGTTAGGCATAGTGACCCTGGAAGGTCATCCTGGCTGTATGTATCACATCCAAAGCCAGCCTGTGGCTATGTGAGACCCTGTGCCGAAAGAAAAGGCTATTGGAAGATTCTTATGGGTTCTTGAAAACAAATTAGACCTCTCCTATTGAGCACTGCCTCTGTCTTCTGCATCACTCACTGGGGTTTCTGGGAACTTTGCATCCACAAACTCAGCTATGCCTTTCACAAGCAAAATTAGCATATTCTTTACTGTTCCAAAGTCCTTGCCAGCGGAGTGTGTCCCTGCTTGTCCTTTGCATTCGACATAGGTGCCATAGTTACAGCTCAGGGTGCACCAGATGAACCCATTCCCGAAGTACTTTGATTTTCAGCTGTGTTTTGAGGTTTTGGAAATAAGGTTGTGAGGCCGAGGATGTAGCTCAGTGCTTCCCTCACAGGCACGAAGGCCCAGATTCACCCTTAGTACCAAATGGACTGGGCATCATGGCTCGTGGAAGGTAGAAAGGAGGGTTTGAGGCCAATGTAGGATGCGTAGACTCTGTCTCAAAATGAAAACAAGAAAAAAGATGGGAGAAGAAAATGGGTATGCCCCTCTTGCATAAATCTTGCTCGCATGGTCTAGATACTTAAGTGTAGGATATAAGGAGCTATTAAAATTGAGTGTTTTCATCCTGTTAGACTGCTGGTGAAGTCTTTTTTGTTAAATGTGTTTCTTTTTTGTCAATGTGTTTCTTCTTCATTTTCGGCCTCTGTAGATTTCCATCAAGAAAAATGGATCTACGTTCACAAAGGAAGTACTAAAGAGGTGAGCACGTATCTACTCACTAAAGCACCAAGCTTGATAATGCTGTACCTGCCTAGGAGAGCATTGGGCATAAATAGTCCTTTAGGTCTTGGGGAATGGTCAGCTGTCTGTCAGAGTGAGGGGAGGTGCTATCTTCAGGCTTTGCCTTACTTAGGGGTTAGTTTTGAGAGAACTAACCATTAAATCCAGCCCGTGTTTTCAGGGCCTGTAGGTGGGCTCAGGTCCTTGTACTAGCCATCTTCTGTGGCACTCGATGAGACAGGACATTTGCTCACTGGAATGTGAGGCAATATGATAGAGTGACAGCATTCCTGTTTCTTTTGGGGTGCTTGGAAAACACCCCATTTCTCTATGGCATCGGGGGCAAACCAAAATCACCTAGGAATTTAGTGCAGAATGAGATGACATGCCAGAAATCTGTATTCCCGATTCTCTGTGTGTCCATACTCAAAAGTTTAGAACTTGTCTCCCCCTCCCCCTCCACAAAGCAAAGCATCACCCGTGGGTGCAGGGTGATGCCACCGTGGAATCAGGGAGAACTGAGTGAACTCTTCCCATGCGTGTGTAACAAAAACTGTCAATACCAAATAGCATATACTCATTGCCAGTGATGCACTGTTCACCAGCACTCCAAGACTGGTGTGTCAGGGAGCTGGAGTGCTACTAGTCATGAAAATGGATAGTCCACAGGTTAGTCTCCAGCCAAAGAGGATGTGGGCTGCTCCACCCACCTGTGTCTCCTTGGATTCGGATGCAGAGAGGAAGGCGAAGCCCAGTCCTCTAAGACGGACAGACAGATGTTCAGTGGAGTCCCTGTGGACTGTACTGGGGAATAGTCCGAACATGGTGGGACTAACGTGTACCTGTCTCACTCACATGCAGCGCCATGGCTACTGCACTTTGGGAGAAGCTTTCAACAGACTGGACTTCTCGACCGCCATCCTGGACTCCAGAAGATTCAACTATGTAGTCAGGGTGAGTCTCAAAAGCCCAAGCTAAGCCAGACTCTTGGATTGTTAACATCCATGTTGACTGACTGGTTGGCATCGGTGTTGGCGCACACCTTTAGTCCCAGCATGCAGGAGGCAGAGGCAGGCGGATCTCTTGAGTTCAAGACCTGCCTGGTCTACAGAGTGAGCTCCAGGACAGCCAGGGCTACACAGAGAAACCCTGTCTTGAAAAACCCAAAACAAAACAAAATTCGTGTTGTCCTAGTTTTGGATGACAGGGAGAGGGAGAGAGAGACTTTCATGACCCTGCAGGTTCAGGGCAAGCAAAAACCAACTCTGTCCAACATTGCTTCCCCCATCCCCAGCACTTGAGGGTCTGGACGTGTTGTTGTGTCTGAGACGGACCCCACCCCCAGACAGGCAATTCCTCAGTAAATCTGTAAGTCAGTCACCACAAGTGGACACTCACTCCTGGCCCTCCCACACTTCCCCTGTCTAAATGGGAGCACGGAGCAGGAAGCAACAACAGCAAAGACGTTTCTCAGGAAATAAGCCCACATTAAGCTTGTTTGGAAACCGGATTGTTCTCGATCTCCTGCCTCAGCTGACTCACTTAGGCCACAAAATAGATGGGCTCCTCAGTGTGACCTTCCCACGCCTCCCACCCCATACTCGGTCTCCATCTACCTAAGGCTGACACTGGGGTCTGTAGCTTTCTATTTGAAACTCTATTTTGAAAAGAAATTAATGAATATTAGCAAAGTATTAATAATGACGAAAATAGCACCTGTGAGTGTAACCTGACTTTGAAGCTGTTGAGTCTGGTGATGGTTTTACACACGCACACACACACATGCACACACACACACACACGTACACACATGCACACTTTGTGATACATTTTTTGTTGATGGTGCACCCTGTGTAATGATTTTACACACACACACACACACGTACACACATGCACACTTTGTGGTACATTTTTTGTTGATCGTTCACCCTTGGGAAGAAGCAGCTGTTTGGGTTCAGGACTCTGAAGTTGGAGGGAATTTCCGGGTGTTACTTGGTTAAGCGTTTGTTTTCTTTTTCTGGGTTGTCCAGCTTCTCGGTGCCCATCATACGGTCAGATGACCGTAGAAGCTCAGCCAAGGTGATGACATGCAAGTCCCCTTGAGGCCTGCTTCATTCACCTGTCATCTGGGGAGGTGCAGGCTGGCTGTGCAGAAAGGCCTGGGCTGTTGCCAGGCCTTCAAGCAGCAGGTTGAAGACCTGGGCTGAGCCCATGACGCATGAGCAGTTCTGTTCTCTCTGGCTGAGCCCTTCTTCAGAGGGATAAAAATAAGAGCCCTTCTTGGGTAAAGTGTCCCTGTCGTCCTGCATGACTCTGCTGGTTTAGAGAGGGCACATAGTCCTCACAATGCCTACAGACTAGTCTGGCTAGTTGGAGTCAGTCCCAGGGAGATCTGGAAACTTCTGTGGCTAAGAATATGAATAGTTTCCACCGTCTGTGTTAGAGGAGACACTCAGATCTGATTACCTGTTACAAATCGATCATCAGAACGATCTGGTTTTAGATGGCTGCTCCTTCCCACCTACTGTTCTTTTCAAAAGAAATAAAGCTGAGGGGGGGGGCAGATTTTAACACAGCCACACCTATCTTCACCTTTAATCTTTCAGTGTTGGTGCATAAATTATTTCCATGTAAACAAACAGTACGGCCCGGTGACTGACTTATCTGAGGTCATGGGACTGTGGAAGGAACAAAATGCAGACTTGGAGCTCATGCTGGTGTCTGCTGCCTTGGATTCTTTGTTAGCAGGGACTTGACATTAGTGTCCCGAAGTGAAACCCCGCTTGGTTTCCTCTCCCGTAAGAGGGGTGTCCCTGGTTTCAAAGGGACGTTGTGCAAACATGGTCATGTTTTTACACATGGGTGAACTCTGCAGATGAGAGTCAGCTGTTCAGACTCAGCCACTAGGATTTAATACTAATTAATAGTGATTATTAATGTTACTAATATTAATTATCAATTATATAACATTTTAAATTGGATAATTATGTGTGATGAATTATAATTAATGTGATTAATTGATTATTAATATTAATTAATTAATGGTTGCTTCCTTACCAAAATTACTGCTGAGTCCCCATAAAGGGGGTTGGAGGTTGGTAGCTAGGAATAGCAGCTGACTGCCAGGACACCAAGGCCAGAGAATACAGCATATCTCAGCACTGGTTACACTTAGTCCTTAAGAAGCCAGTGGGTATCTTCCATCTGCCCCAAGAACTTCTGAGTTAATTAATTGCAGGTTGTGTATTGCGGTTTTTTAAAATCTCTGCTAAGGATATCTCAGCGAGTTTTATTAGATTCTTCACACTAATTCAGGGATTTCTTTAGGGCCCAAATGTTATATTTTGTATAATGAACTTTTAAACAAGATACACAGCATCAAATTCTGGGTTATGACTTCTGCAAGTATGTACTGTGGGCCATCTGAATGCATGATGGGGAAAGGGGAGCCCCTCCCACTTTCCAGCTTGAAGTCTACACCCTATTAGCTCTGATAGCTTCCATAAATCAGTTGCTTTGAGCCTCTAAACTGTGGAGCTGCGGGAATCGCCCTGGAATTGGGGTATCTCTGTGGGAATGGGGAAACGCAGTGTGGAAACGAAGACAGCGGGTGTGGGAAATGCTGTGTGAGTTTCAGTGGTTTACATACGTGCGGCCATCTTTCTTGAGGGATTACGATGGGGAGTCTGGGTCTGCACATGAGATGCAATTGAAGATTTCCTGTTTGCAGGGAGACCTCTGAGGCTCTGAGAATGACTGAGCATTCTCTAAAGGCTTTCTCTGCAGTGAGGCTCAGTGATGGTAAACTCCAGCATTTGCCTAAACAGCCCCATTCCTCAGTGAGTCACTTAAGAAGGCCGCATTATTAGGGGTCAGGGCAGTGACTCAACAGGAAGGACACTTGCCACACAAGCATAGCAACTGGAATTCTGTCCCCTGGACCCACATGATGGAAGGAGAGACTGACTCTACCATTGTCTTTTGATCTCTATATGATGACAGTATGGTAGCATACACCATGTGAATACACACACACACACGTACACACATAATACATACACATACACCGCGTACACACCACCACACACACCACATACCACACACCCCCACATCCTGGACACAGACCCCATCCCACACACACTACATATACACACCCCACAACCACACACACACACACACACACACACACCACCATACACACCACGATAAATATTTTTAAAAACTTTTTTTAAAGGAATAATGAGAGAGTTCCTGCCTCAAAGTAAGATGGAAGGAGAGAAAAGTTGTCCTGTGCCGTCCATACATTTGCTGTGACATGTGTGCGCACACACATTACGTATACACAAAAGTAAAGTAAATATTTTTAAACAAGATTTTTTTTATATATGATAAAATGAAACTATCTCTAAGACAGTCTATTATTCAAACGTGTGGGGTGGGGACTGCATTATTGGGATAGAATGGAGTTAAGTTAACTCTCTAGCACCAATAAAAAGGGGCCTAAGGATGCCTAATATGGGCAAAACCCTGGGTTCCAGCCCCAGCGTTGAAAGAAAAAAATCTGTATTCACGTGTATGTGTGTATGTGTGTTTTCATATTTGTATGAGGTAAGTATGTGAGAGTGATAGACAATAAATAGACATGACACCGCCTTAAGGTCTGTAGTAGAATAAGGCAAGCTCCTCGGCTCTGTCTGGTCTCTGCCTTGTATTTGCAAACACCACAAGCCAAGAGTGATTCGTATATTTTCCAAATATTTTTTTAAACTTAAAGAAGCATGATAAGAAGGCATTAGAATTATGCACAACCCAGATATCAGTGTCCACGTAGCTTTACTGAAGCCCAACTATGCACACTGTCTATAGCTTTCTGTGCTCAGTGGAAATCAGATTCAGAGTTAAGTGACAGTTCTTGTAGCCTGAAAACATGAAACATTTACTGTCCTCTACATTTTTCTGACCTCTACTGTTCCATCTAATCTGTGATTTGTGAGGCATGTTGGTGACTTGGGAAATATGTACTGTAGTTACCTGAGCTATGTCACCAAAGTGCCTGACGCTAGGCACTGGCGTGTAGAGGAGGTGGCATTGTGAGCAGCTTATCCAGCGAAGACTTCCAGGACGGGATAAGTGGGATTTGAACAGAGCTTGAGGCGCAGTAGAACTCGGGGAGACCAGAGAAGGCCGTCATTGTGTGCGTCAGCATGCGGGGTCGAGTGAGGCTGTTGCCAGGCACAGTTGTCACATGACCCTGGGCACACTTCTGTCATTGCCCCGGTAAAATGGAAAGGGTGCTTAGAGACACCCCACTGTCTCAGAGATGTAGCTAACGGCAAATGAGATAACGTGGGCGTCTCTCGTGCCACAGAAGTGGGTGAGTGTTAGTGGTGTGGCTAGCTGTGGCCGAACAAGGAGGCAGACTTAAGTCTTTGATTTCGGGGCTTCTTTGTGTGACATTATCTTGTAGGCAGGAGGGGTCCACGGGGAAGAAAAATGTCAAGGAATGGAGAAGGTTGGGAAAGCATTCTTTTAATAAGTCACGATTTGTGACAGCTTTGGATATTACGTCAGTTACCGGCTATTGATCATAACCCTGTACATAAACTTCCTCTATGAAAACAGTCAGGCTGTTCAGTGGACAGATGTGATAAACTCATTTTGAAGATGAGAAAGGGAATTGAGTGATTTGCACAAGGTTGCCTAGCCAAGCAGAGACCCAGGGGATCCAAACTTGGTCCTGTGTTCTGTGTTTCTGTACGTGGTGCCGTCCACCATATGCTCATATGAAGTGCGGAGTGGGATCTCCTTTGCTTTGTGTGTGGTGTGCACATATGCATGTGTGTGTGTGTGTGTGTGTGTGTGCGCGCGCGCGCACGCATGCACATCTGTGTGATATATGTACCGTGTGCATTGTGAGTGCAGGCCTGCACCCACTGCAATGCATGTGCGAAGGT